CTGCTCTCTGCTGTGGTAATATCAGTGTGATAGCGTGACAGAAGATGCTCCGGCTGGAAGGAGAAGGGCAAATTTACACACCATCCCGACAGAGAATTACATTATTCTTAATGAAATGAACACCGCAGATGAAAACTGTAGCGCTTACAGGTCAGGCTCGTTGACATCCACATTCAGGAACTGAGCTGGAATCTAAAAGCCATTGCCTGATATCTGATTGGTTGGCGCACAACCTTTTGCTCTTCCATAGATCAAGCAGTTCCATATTTCACTTACCTGTTATGCTTCATTTACAGTAGTGAGTTCAATTTCAGCTGTAAATCAGCTCTACAGAAGACAGTAGTGTCATTACTCGGCTTGATTCAGTTCAAACAATCCGATAGTGTCACTGCAGTTCAATAATGTTGCAGAATATTATTAAGTGTCTGTAAAACAGAAAGAGTATAAGAGCTATAAAATGAATGTGGATAGATGCTCAGATCATTTGATAAGGATACATGTGGTATCTTATATGTGGTAAATCTGAGCATAGTTTAAGATATACGGACATATGGATGTAAATTAGAAATGCTGCTAAAATAATAACTACAAACCACCACTGGTTCCAAATCCCCAACATTAATTTAGACTAAATTGCCATTACTCATCCTGGTGCATTTAAAACAATTATAATAAAATAATAAATAAAAATGAATAAACAACATTCATTTTACACTAATGTTTACTAACCTGCATTGCCCCTATCAAATAAACAAATAAACATGACACACTTGTGACATTACTGTAAATTAAAGATGAGTTTAGACTGACTTTTGCAAAACGCACAGGAAAAAAACAACAACAGTATATGGCTTGAAATGAAATGAGGAGGACTTTAAAAAGTCAGAAAGTTGACTCTTTAGTGATCTGTACCTTTAAAGCTTTTCCTACCCTATGGAATTACTGTTATTCAGAACAAATACTGAATTTTGTACAACTAAAAATCCAAATGCACGGGTGGATCTGGACTGAATTACAGAGGCACAAAGGGTTCGGAGGTGAATTCTTACGTGTGCAGCCGCCTTCCTGAAAGCTGAAGTGTCCGGGAGCACAGCGGTCACACTTCTGTCCCGTCACACCAGGCTGACAGCGACACTGACTGCTCTCATCACAATCAAACGACTTCGATCCAAATGAATTGCAATGGCATGGGACGCAGCCTTGAGCGCCCTGCATGTGTAAGCCAGACTGGAGAGACAGAGAGGAGACAGTGAGGAGGGACAAATAAGGCGATTCTCAGAGTGATGGCTAGACTATGCTGTGTGGCACTTTCCACAAATAAGGTGCAAGTAGTTTAAGAAAGCAATGAAGACACAGATCCCATATTTTTAGAGCGAGGACTATTACAGATGTTGGAGAACCCAGATGTATCAATTGAATCTCCACAGATTGTGGTTCAACCATTAAACCCTCAATCTGTTATAAGAATCAAATATATTATAGTTAAATGAATATATTAACAACTACAAACCACCACTGGTTCCAGACTGGAAATCCCCAATATTAATTTAGGCTAAATGAAATTAATATTGGGGATTGCTGATTTATCCATTCTGGTGCATTAAAAAAATAATAAATAAAACTAATAAGATAATAAACAAACAGAATTATTTTGTTTAAGTTGTGTACATTTATTTAATGATTACTGCTACAAAATGAAATCAGACCAACTGGGAACTAAAACTCTTTAAAAGTGGATTTCTAAATGTGCCATAAATGTAGAAATGGAAAATAAAACAAAACCTCTCATATAATTTTTAGTTTAACCTGCTGACAAGAACAGATGTTTTTCATGTGTAGGTGGCGTTTAACCTTTAGAAAAATAACAACAAAAATTGACTTTATACAGAGCTGTTTTTGCACCTACTCGTGGAATGTGCCTTGTTTAGTCATGCAAACAGTACAATATCTTCTGCATTTATGTAAAACCTCCTTCAGTCTCGTTTAGTGACTCAAAGACCTTCATAAACACAGCCCAGATCACAGCACTTAACAGCCATGCAGATATTGCAGATCAAACCAAACCACAAGACTGTGCCTCTGTCTCCAGTCTGTACTCTGTTCCCTTTTTACAAAAATACATTTTGAGAGGTAAACTTCCAACAATGTCATGTTAATGATCAAAAATGATCATGCAGTGATGATAAATCTGCACGCGCCATGTGGATGTGAAGTCACTGTGGCAGCCATTGCTGTGGGTGATTGACAGCCATCTGTCTGCTAGGAACAGGTGCGCTGTCACCGTAGCAACCAACGAGAAGCGGCCCTGGCACAAACTGTCAGTGGCACCCCATGGATGCCAGATAAATGAAGACACACACACACACACACACACACACACACACACACACACACACACACACACATCCCATCATGCAAAGCTGTGAGCCAAAGTGACAAAACTCTCCTCCAAGAGAACTCATAACCGTGCCTGGCGCTTTTTAAAGACTAAGAAAAGACTAAAACATTAAGAAGCACAGCATTTGACAGTTGCTTTCTGTGCATGAGAGTGATTAACTCTCTTAAGCACTACTTAACTAATGTTACATGTAAATGTATAATTAAAGGCCAAAGCAGACTGCACACATTATGTTTCATCTGTCTTAAAGCCAAAGGCTGTCTTTTTGAATTATGTACTGTATATATATTTTGGGTCTCATTCACTAATAACTGTACACAAGTTGTGTACTTAAGCATGCAGAAATGTTTCTCATGCAAAACTAATGCACAAACACAATTGCACATGGATTTGTTCTTGATCTTCAGTTAAAGCAATAAATTGATTACTGATCTTTTGACATGTAAGATGTGACTGTAATATAAAAACATACTGTCAGTTTTACTGAACTCTAGTTCATAACAGTTATTCCATATGCAAATATGTTACCAATGGGCATGTAGCAATGGGAATTTAATCTACAACCCTTATACAAACCCTAAACTTAAACCATTTATTTCCAATTATGACTGCTTTTGATGTAAAAATCCTACCAGCACTATAAGTTCACCTCCAGGAACATTAGAAACATTGTGAATGCAATGCATGAGCCCTTTAAAGCAAAGTGTGTCATTATGGGTACCAGATGAAACACAATAAACATCTTTATGAAGAAGCCAGATCAGGCTCTGACGTGCTCATGATGTTGCTGCGAAATAAACAAGACATATTGTAAAGTCACTTAGCAACCCTGTTTCTAATAATAATAATCATATCTATAAAAAAATGTAGTGTGAACTTGTTGATTACAGTTTGTAAATGAAAATGTTCACACAGGTTTTGTGCAAAAATACGTGTTTATGCAGAGGCAGTGAAACAGACCAAGCGTAATAATTCTAAACCTGTTTTGATTAGTGTGCATGTGAGGACCTACAATGCATGATGCCCTCAGTACCGCATTATTGTTACTATAAACTATAATTAAAAGCAGCATCATACATTATAACATACATTAATGTTATATTACAGAGAATATATGTGACCCGGGACCACAAAACCAGTCTTAAGTGTCAATTTTTTTAAATTGAGATTTCTACATCATCTGAAGGCTGAATAAATAAGCTTTCCATTGATGTATGGTTTGTTAGGATAGGACCGATATTTGGCTGAGATACAAATATTTGAAAATCTGGAATCTGAGGGAGCAAAAAAATCTAAATATTGAGAAAATCATCTTTAAAGTTGTTCAAATGAAGTTCTTAGCAATGCATATTACTAATCAAAAATTAAGTTTTGATATATTTACGGTAGGAAATGTACTAAATATCTTCATGGAACATGATCTTTACTTAATATCCTAATGATTTTTGGCATAAAAGAGAAATGTATAATTTTGACCCATACAATGTATTGTTGGCTATTGCTACAAATATCCCCCAGCGACTCAACACTGCTTTTGTGCTGCAGGGACACATATTTATATAACAGAAATAAAATATAAACAATTTAGCACAAAAAAAAAAAATGCAACTACTAAACTGCAATAAGGACCTATGTATATACTGTTATAGTTTTTATTAATATTTTCAATTAGCTTTTATATTTTCAGCTTTCGTTTTAGTTATTTTTTTTATAATTTTGTTATGTATTTGTCATTTATATATATATTAGGTAGTTAGTTATTTTTTAAATATTACTATTTAGGTTTAATTTGTTTCTATTTCAGTTTATATTTATATCCAGTTCATAACATGTATTTCCAGTTACAAAAATATTGTTTCAGTTAGTTAAATTTTCATTTAAAGATATAATTTTAACATTTCATTTTAGCTTTATTTCAATTGACAAAAAATATGTTAATAGATATAGATATAATAGCCCCGGCTGGTAAACTGTAAAGAGGAGTGAACTGCATCAATGGTGAAGTTAATCTAAATAAAACAGGCAAAATTCAAAAACAGCTGATTTGAGCAGAAGTAAAAAGAAAAAGAACAACAACAATGTTATGTGTATAATGTGTATTATTTTGAACACTCTTACACTTGTTACACTCATATTAGATGTTGATTGTCACAGGAAGTCACACACATGCACACAGATCCTGTGCACCCATCATGCCGTGCGTTTACCCCTGTGCCGGGGCGATACGCCCCTCGAGGGCAGCCCCCTCTGCTTTCCCATCTCTGGATGTGTTGGATGGGAACCTGTTGGACGGGTCGCCGGGTCTCCCTGCGGGCGTGAGGCGGGCGCATGAGGTCACACCTGCGGCCCACGTATCCGGCCCAACAGATGCACCTGCCCTCAGAGTCACAGCGCTGGGACACAGAGCCCCGAGCGCTGCACTGACACGGCCTACACAACTGAGCCTCACTGTCCCACCAACAATTCGGCTGAACACACTCATTCAGAGGTTTATAAAGAGGCAGAGATAAAAATAGGAAAATATTTTTAAAAAGAAAATGAAATGAAATGTGTAATTAACATGGCCATTTAAATCTAACCCAATGACAGAAATGACTGCATTTGGTGTTGTGCATACTCACCATACACTCATCACACTGACGTCCAACAACATGTTGTCGACATTGGCACTGTCCGGTCTCCTGATGGCACAACTCTGAGAGCGATCCGTTAGTGTGACACTGACACGCTACACAGAGACACAGAGAGAAACAACTAGACATGAAGATGTTACATCTAGAGAGATAGTAAATTATATTTTGTTTTGATCTCCTTTATATCCAGTACTGCCAGTGAAACATTTGGAATATGGTTGTCATTGGTATTAAATGTCTCTGAAGGTGTTGGTGCCAATAGCCTCGTGGTTAGTGTGCTGACATACAGTATAGCTCAACTGTACTCATGGTGACCCGAGTTCAATTACCGTCTTGAGATCCTTTACTATTCCTTCTTCCCCCAATGCTTTCCTTTCTGCTCTCTAACGTGTAAGGTTCCATTTATTTGATGAAAATACAGTAAAAACAGTAACATTGTGCAATATTATTACAATTTCAAATAACTGTTTTCAAATTTTAATGTACTGTATCTGAATGACTAACAAAATAACTAACAATACTTGATAATAATTAAGCATTATATTCAGGGTTGCCAGGTCCCATGAAACTTTCTAGCCCAAATCCCACTCAAAATCCACCCACACGGAATGAAAACTCGCCCATTTTCCTCCGGACGCAACCCACAGTCCTGTAATTTTTCTTTCAACTGCAACCCTGTTTATGCTAGGTATTTCTGCTTCCTTTGGTCTCTGTGTTTCCTGTGTTCAGTTCCCGTTTCATTAGTTGCCTTGGTTTTTGATCCTGACCTAGTTAGTTTCCAGTGTATCTGATCATGTTCTTCACTTAGGTCTTCTTTGGTTGTTAGTTTTCAATGTATATATTGTCCTGTGTTGTATGTAGTTTGTTGGTTATTGTTGCTTTTAATGGTGTTCTTAGTATCCCGCATTACCAAGTTCTTTGTTTTTGTAAATTAACTACTACTGCTGCTGCAAGTTGATCCAAGCATCTACTCTCTCCCTGCCTGTTACACTGTTACAGAATAACCAACCCACAAATATTTATGGATCTAGGAGCAGTCTCTCTCCACCTCGAGGACCAACTCCTGTACCCGATCCTGAGCCGAAGCCAAAGCCTGCCACAAACCCTGAGCCAGAGGCCGCCAAATTGTTTGACTTGGAGCTAGACCTTGCCACCATTTCCATTCTGGAGCCAGAGCGAGCCTGTTGCCGTGTCTGTCTTGGAACTAGCGTTGGAGGAATTTCTGATTGACCTGTTTGCCACAACCAGTCTCCACCCTTGTGCCCACCCTCAAATTCCTTCCTGCTTGGTCAGTTCCCTCCAGCTTATTGGTCCCACCCAACCTCCAAGCTCCCTTGTTTCTGGTGGCACATCCTCCCCTGCTGGTTCTATCTAGTTCCCCAGCTCCACCCCACAATCACAAGCTTTGCCCTGGTCCTCAGATCCACCTCGGTCCTTTGACTCCTCAGCTCCACCTTGGTTCGTTGTTCCCTCGGTTCCTCTGGTCTGTCAGCCTTAACTCCACCGGGTTCCTCATCCCTCAGGCTCTGTCAATCATCACATTGACTTTGCCATGGACTTTTGCTGTACCTCGGCTCTACATCCCTTTGGCTCCACTGGGAGCTGTTATTTCGGTTTTCACAACAGAAATAAAGAAAGTCCTATTATCTTTCATTAAAATCTAAACATGCTTTAGAGGTTAAAAATGGACAATCATTGGACAAGATTACAGCACAGATCTAAGCTCCATCCTCTCGGTTCCACTTCACCCCCCTTCACTCGTTTGTGTATTTGGTTACACTTTATTTCGATAGTCCACTTTAGACATTCTATTAACTATAAGTAACTTTGTAAATACATGTCAACTACATGTCAACTAATTCTCATTAATTTGCAACTACATGTCTACTAACTCTCAGAGTAGACGGTTAGGGTAGGTTTAGGGTTAGTAGAATAAGTTGACAAAGAAAGTGTAAGAAGATATTAAGCAGACAGTCTACTAATACTCTACTAACTGCTAGTTGACATGTAGTTGACATGTATTTACAAAGTTACTTATAGTTAATAGAATGTCTAAAGTGGACTATCGAAATACTGAAACTTAGTGCTTTTTTTTTTTACTTTTGTACAAAGTGTCTGGTATTAGTTGAATGTTTTTATTTAACAATTTTCTAATTTAAAATAAGAACTTCCAAGCTAATTAAAATGAAGTATAACAATTTGAGTGAAATTTTTTATTTGAAGTTATAATTTCAAACATGAACAATTATTCATTTTTTTACACAATTTTTCACATTACAAATTTGACATTAAAAATTCCTGTTCCAATAAGACTTTGAATCACAGACTTCACCATCTGAATATGTTTTGCAATATTATAACCATATCAAATGCACTAAGCACTAATAAAATCAGTAGGAACACACAGACTCTGGGAGAACTCGTCGTCATGTTTCATGCACAACCAAGGGAATGTGTGCAACCCAAATGTGCTTTGAACTTGCCTCTGGCATGTATAACAACTAAAATTAAAAACCAGTGTGATTATTCAATATCCCATGACCCCTTTGCATGCTAATCAGTGCAGTGTGTGTAGAAAACAATCAAACAGAATGACTCTATCCTGCTTAAAATTACAGCGCGGTGTAACCGTGGGCACACTGCTGTAGGGCTGCAGGAGGACAGATTGCATTTCAATATAATGCACACACACTTTCTGAACAGCCTGACTCTGACTGAGATGGAGCACAGATGGTGTTGCATGAGGCTTGTTGGAGGGGAATCTGTGTGTATTGTCCTTGAGGGTAGACGGCCCGAGCTACTGGATCAACTCACCTCACACACACACACACATCTGCCATGCAGGCTGTCTGGAAGAACACAATTTAATTTCTACAAAAACAGACACATTAAAAACTCCTAAAGTGACAACCAAATAGGAAGGGTGAAAAATATCTGCCTTTTATTGTAGTTGTAGAGTACTTAAGAGAGGGTGCACGGTTTTCTGTTCTGGGAGTTTTTTTTCTTCTCCAAAATCAGTGTTACAACATACTATGGAAACTAATAATAATAAGTGTGTTTATATACTTGAGTATTATTTTATTGAATTTGAAATTTAATTCTTCTGAAACTGAGAACAGTTCCAAGATTAACATTTTACTTTTCACTCCTTATGATTTCATTTAGACATTTTCATTTAAATATGCACTTCTAAGTCATCTTAACTTTACAAAAACAATGATGTTCATAATATAAAATATTATTGTATCATAAAGGTCTAAATTATTTTGTGTAATAATGAACTAATAACAAGACAATCAAATTACAATTTCATAAAAATAAAAAGGAATTGTCTACAACTGCGATCATGGTAACAGTGACTTGATTGGTGGATCTCTCTACAGGATTATGGGTAGTGTAGTTCTTCACAGGGCATTCACTCAATAAACATGGTTTTTAAAAAGCTGAAATCACTCTAGATGTCTTGTACCGGCCCAAATATAATCATCTAACAAACTCAGAGGTCATGGTAGATCTGCCTTTTGGTTGATATAGTATTTATAAAAATCAGTGGCGAGCTGATATGTTTAATGTATCCATGTTATTGATCTTATTATGAACAATTATTTCATGTTTTGTATGTTTATTATTATTATTATTATTATTATTATTATTATTATTATTATTATTATTATTATTATTATTATTATTATTATTATTATTATTATTATTATTATTATTATTATTATTATTATTATTATTATTATGATATTGTATGCTATATCCTCTGTAGAAGTAATCCAGGCAAAAACAAGGGTTTTTGTTTTATTTTGCTTTCATTGACTAATCAATTTTTAGCAAAACTTTGTACAAAGATGATTCTCAATTATGTTATGAAAGATATTACAGAATGATTTATTAGACTATTTGACCTATTTGCTAAAATATATTGTCTTATACAGAGGCACAAGTCTATGGCTGGGTCTCAGGAGGATATGTATTTAATTTATGGAGAACATAATATAGCCTGATAGTTACATACAATAATAATATGAAAATACTGTTATGTGACTGTTTAACTGCTTTGATTATGGTTGGTGAGTGTTTATTTGTAGGTTCTGATATCATGACGTCCTGTTATCAGTGCTGACGTACTTGTTTGATGGGCTGAGAAGAGGACAAGCACATGGCTGACAGTCGTCTGCAGTTCCTCTGGTGGCGTCTCCATAATATCCAGGAGCACACTGGTCACAGTACGGTCCGACCGTGTGATCCCTACAGCCCTACAACACACACAAGACTAATGTCAAGATGTGTTTTAATATATATACTGTATATATATATATATATATACAGGGCAAAGACAAGTAGTCCTATATTAGTGTTCGTATCCACAAATTAAATTTACTAGGTGACCCATACTTGGAATTAGTGCTCTGCATTTAACCCATCCAAAGTGCACACACACAGCAGTGAACACACACCCGGCCATTTATGCTGCAGCGCCCGGGGAGCAGTTGGGGGTTCGGTGCCTTGCTCAAGGGCACCTCAGTCGTGGTATTGAAGAGCGCTGTACATTCACTCCCCCCACCTACAATCCCTGCCAGTACGAGACTCGAACCCACAACCTTTGGGTTACGAGTCCAACTCTCTAACCATTAGGCCACGACCACGACCCACACATATATTTATGTAAAAATGCAACATACTTTTCTGACCTGAACTTAATTAAAAAATCTAAAATAAATACAAGAACAAACAGTAACACACAACGTTATTATATTTTAAAACTATATTAAAAACTTCTTGCTGACAAATAGATAAATCATAGTGGTTTGAAGGATAGTAGTCTTTTAATGTCATCTAAAGACTCTTGTTCTAAATATGCCTGACAAGATTTTGTTGTAACTATTGTTACACTGAATGACATTTTAGTGGGCATCTTCTGTAAATCATGATAAAAATGTATGATGGTCATTGCTTTAAGTTCAGAAAAAAATAAAAAATAAACAATATGAATTCTAAACAAATAATAATAAATTAAAGCTGTATTTAACTTTAGTTTTTAATGCCTAAAAACCTCTTTTCATCTTTGACCCGTAGACAAAAAGTCTGCAGATGAGTAAATGAAACCACTTTAGAGCCACCTTAAACTTCCATCAAAAAACCTGAATCGTTCTCTCACATGCAGCTTCTGTGCAACTAAGCCAAAACTACCAATTACATTACATTCCATAAAAAAGAGACAATGTAACACCATTGCTTACATTTAATTAGGCAATACACAATATTGTGATGCCTAACTTTTAAAAGTAACACGAGGCAGTATGGATTCACACTATTAATCAGTCTTTCAGAGACACACAGTGTCAGACTAAAGGATCGGAGGGACAGTGCTAGTATTTCATCTGTGAGTGGTAAATACACATGCACACAGTGATAATCACAGCGCAATCCATCCACACACACACACACACACACACACACACACACACACACACACACACACACACACATACAATCATTCAGTCCAGCTCACTGCTGTAACAAGCTCTGGACAGAGGAAGTGATACTGGTGTATGAACATGTT